CGTTGCTTTGAAAGAAACGATTTTGAAGATCTTCCCAAACTTCATGAGCAGTGTTATAAAAAATAACACTATCTGCAATATCAGGGGTCAATGAATTAAGAATCCATGACAAAACCATATCATTGCATTTTTTCCATGCCGCATAGTCTTCCGGTTTTGTTTTGACAGATGGTGCTTTGAGGGTTCCATCAGCAAAACCAAATTTAGATTTTGCATTCAATGAGATGGTAGTGGCTCGACGCCAAGTCGAATAATTGTCACCATTGAGAGGTTTAGAAACAAGAATCATTCCCGGATGATCGGAATGGTGAAGAGAGTAAGAGCTATTGGAATCAGATTTATTTCCATCATTGGCCATAATGATTTAGAAAGTAAAAAAAAAATTGATACGCAAAAAATATGGGAAGGAAATGGAGCAGATCGTTACTGCTCTGATACCATGTCAAAATAACAGGAGAAGATGGAAATAATTTGGTTGTGTTTTATTCAGAAACATTAGAGCATTATATACACATATACATCTCTCAAATAAGATGATTTTGTTCCTATAATTCAGCAATCTATTCCTATTATACTGATATACAACAAGAATCATGGATGCAATTAACTCTCATAATAACAAGAATCATAGAATATAATTTCCTTTCCTAACAATTTTGATAACATATAAATGAATAAATTAAAGCTATGTTGTCATATGTGGCTCAATAAATTACTTTTCTTAAAAACCGAATCAACTCAATCAGCGGTTGAAACCTCTTTCCTTATGATGATTAGTTGTTGATTAATTTCATGATTTTTTTTAATACTTTTTTTGTGTTAATTGTCTTTTGAATATTCTTAAATTGGAGCGCGTTGGTTGAAACATTGAATCTGCATGTATCTTGTTTTAATTGGTTGCATATTACTTATGTCTGAACAAACACTGATACTCTAGATTGCATACACTTTCCAGCTATTAGTATATCATCCAATAAATGTACTATCTGGTCTTAATTTCCCATGTGAACTATGTGCATTCAGAATTCTTGCATTTTCCCTATAAAACTGTGTGTTCAACAGAATCCATCCTTCAAAATAATGTAGCTAATTGTCAAGTAACTCGTAAGTTTTGGCAAGGAAATATCTCAAGTTGCAGCATGCATACATGAATCTAATATGATAAACTTTGCTTAATCATTTTGACAAAGTAAAGAACACGTTTATTTTTATCCTGGTTCGTTTGAACTCAAACTACTCCAGTCCACCCGTCAAGGTGATTTCGCCTCTCTCAAACAAAGTCTTAATTCACTAATCAAACTGATTACAAATCTACTCTGACAACTGTCAAAGTCTTCTTGAGTCTAAAACCACAACCCGGTTTTCTCAAGGCACTAAACAGTTAATTGAATAGGGGTGTACAATGTTGTTTCTAATAAACAGTATCACTAACAGTGATGTTTTACACAGTTTAATATTGAATGTTGAAGATGAAGAATGTTTGCTGTGTTACTGACTTTTCACGTGAGTTTTTCTTTTTGGTGCGCAATTGTTCATCATCTTGAAATCTTCTTCTTGTCAGCTTTATATAGGCCTTGCAATAGTGACATAAGAAGATACTTTTGGTATGTCCATAACACGAGTTAATGAGCTTTCCAAATCAGGAGATCCTTGTCTATTTGTAGCCGTTACTAATGATCTTGCATTGATAGATTGTAACACTTCATAACTTCTCACTTCAGAGGCTGAATATTAATGTTGAGAGTCCTTTACAGCTTAATCATAATATTGCAAATCAGAGTATCAGAGATTCTGTTTCACAGCGCTGGTGCATTCAGAAGTTGTAACAGAACTTCTTCATATAAGTGTATCATGCAGATTTGATGCGTCTGAATCTTTCATGGTACTCTCAACTTCTGTGCTCGCATAATCAGAACTTCTGGTGATGTTCTGGCAGAACTTCCAGTTGCATCAGAACATCTTTTTCACATCAGAACTTCTGGGAACTTCTGGTGATGTTCTGGCAGAACTTCCAGTTGCATCAAAACATCTTTTTCACATCAGAACTTCCTGCATGAAACGATACTTTTATTAGCGAGCATATTTGTTATTTATTATCATGTGTTTGTCATCATCAAAACTCTTACTGGAATGTAGAACTAAATTATGTTCTAACAGATTTCAATATATGAGTTGTAATCTGGATGATTCAATTTAGATTTAACGATAACCGAAGAGCTGAGTACGTGAATGCGTGGATTTGCTAACAACCACCTATCCAAATCCTTTGTTTTCTTGGTTGTATGGTTGCAATCAAATAAAATAGCTCCCTGTTGTGTAAAATTGAGGTACTAAAAAAATGTAGCAAATAGTGAATGGCATCCAAATAGAATGAATGAGTTTGTTGATAAAAACTATGATGACAGACCTAAAAAAAGAAGTTAAATCAACATGCCAATTGCCAAGTAATCTTCTATATATTCCTTGTTAATACTGTCATGACTTTTATGATCACTCTGGTCATTTCTTCTCCTCCATATTCTATACTTTAAAAAGCCTTTCTTTTACTTTTACTTGTGAACTAATATTATCTATTTCAGATATTCAATTGTAGGTATAGTGCTAGGTGTAATTTCAAATGACAGGAAAAGGGTCAAAGAAGACAGCACTAGGAGCAAGAAACCCTAAGATGTCTGAAATTTTTACTATTTGATTTCTTAATATTTTTTTGATGTATTTTTGATAATGTTAACTTTGTAAAAAGAATTGTTGATAGGTTATGTTGGACACAACTTATTCCACCCGGAGCTCTAGCTGCAAACAAATCTCGCATGATGCATGACAAATCTATTTCAAAGAACAGAAGTTCCACTTTTAGCACGCGTCAAAGAACGCAAGCACCACCAATTCAGACGATGCCTACACTACGACCATTTCAGACAACTGCAACACCACCACCGTCTTAGACAACCGAAGTAGTCATAGTTGTCAAGATCTCGATCTAGATTTTAAAATCTTACGATTTTATGACCTCACTCACCCCAATGATCCGGATCTTAAGTAGAATCACATGTTGTAGCCAAATTATTTAAAAACCCAATAAAATTATTGATTTTGTGCGATCTTTGCCAGCTTCGGTCATGATTCGCCGTTTTCCAATCACCACCATTAAAAGGTGAGAAGGATGACAAGATGCGGAAGTACAACAATTACGGTTCGGCGGAGATGAATTTTCACCTTTTGAAATGAAGTTTTAGATTTAGGGTTTAGAGAATAAAGTTTTCACTGATAGGTTTGTTTTAACTACTCGATTTATGATAATCCTAGTAATTGACCATATATGTCCTTAATGTCTAAACATTAACAAATATTCAATAAAACCTCAATCATAAATGTCTAAAGAATATGAAAAAGAGTCATTTTCTCACAAATACACTTGCCTACTTACATATATCATTATATCATGTAAAAATACTTTAAATATATACAATTACTTTTTATATTTAAGTAGGATCTTACGATTTTTGTTGCGATCTTATGTTTTACGATCATGTTACTCCCTCTCGATCTTACAAAATAATTGAGTAGGATCTTCCGATCCTAACTACGATTTTATATTTTATGATCTTGCTATTCTCTTCAGATCTTAGATAAGATCTCGATCTTGACAACCTTAAAAGCAACACCACCGCTTTAGACAATCGAAGTAACATCACTGACTTTTGAGAAATGCACTTTCCTTCCTATTTTGGGAGTGAATTGGCATATTTTGCAAGGTCCAACTCTCCATCACACTACGGTGAGGGAAGAGGAGGGGACCAATAAGTTCTGATGAGAAATAGGAGGGGGAACAAGCATTTTCTGGTGGGCAAAGGCTGAGGATTAGAATTGTGACTCATGGATAAGAAATTTAGTAGTTTACGTACACTTTTTGATTGATCATGATTTAAAGTTAGAGCATGAAATCAACAAAAAAAAAAAATATACTAGTTATCCTTTCATATTGAAAACACTAGTTATCCTTTCATGCTTATTGTTAGTGTTGGTATAACCATGTATTGATGAAAAATCATGAGTGGAAAACTATAGTTAAATCATGTTTATTAGGGTAACATTGCAATAGTTGATCGAGTGTCCAGTGCTGCTTACACAATCTGGTACGTGTTCCATACAATGGAGTATCTGTGAAATTCTTTTGTAGGTTCAATGGTGTTTTGGTTTTTAATATGTTTTCCGTTAACTCTCTAGCTTAATGGATGACAATATTCATACAGATTTTAATGTCTTAATTTTCTATCTCATATGATAAATTAAACATGTGACTGTAGGTTTCATCCAAGTGTGGTTGCTGCAGTTATTAGAAAAGTTGTAGTAAGACTTTATGGAGAAACACTCATGCAGTATTGTTAGCTTAAAGTACACGGTAGATTAAAAGAGAGATGAATATTTTGAGATATTTAAAGTAAGACATGTAAATTCTTTTTTAATAGTTTGATGATAATGTATATTTTTTAAAATTTAATCAATAATATTTCTTTTTTGTGAGTCTCTTGTCAGGTGGGAGCCGTGTGATGACGCAAAAATGAAAGATGAATTTTATAAAGCTTGTGGTAAAAGAATAAATGATAGATTTTATAAAATTAGGAAAAAGGCGACAAGGCCGCCTTAGATGAGTGAAAAGGTACGAAAGCATCTTTTTGACAGGTGACAAAATGGAGATCTCAAAAAGCTTTTTTAACAAAATAAGACTAATCGAGTCACATACTCATATGACATGCTTGAAGATGTCTTGGTATGAGTCGATGACTTAGTATTTCTAGTGGATTTTTTGATTCTAGACATGCTTGAGGATTCTGAGACCCCCATTACTTCTCAGAAGTTCGTTCTTGGTAACAAGTAAAGCTCTCACATATGTAGCAATGGGTAGTTAATATTGAGATTTAATAATGAAAATATGGTTTTCAACGTGTTTGAAGCACTAAATCAACCAACAAGAAGACTCTCAGCGTTACAAGATAGAGATGGAAAAAGGAAGCTCCAACTGGTATCACGGTAATAGCCGGGTAAGGAAAGAATTTCAGATAGGACAAAAGGTTATGTTATATAAATCTCGTCTGAAACGCTTTACAGGTAAGTTAAAGACCAGAGGATCAGGTCTTTTTATTGTTAATAATGTTTTTGTATAGGAGCTGTCAAATTAAATGATCTAGGAGATTCACACACTTTTATTGTGGAAGGCACGAAACTAAGGACCTATGCAGGAAGTGAAAACACATCGGAAAAGGCACCTCTGATGCTCGCGGAACCTTAGATAAAAGAGTCAAGCTAATGACCTTAAATAAGCGTTTAATGGAAAGAAACCCATCATATTTTATTGTATTGAAATTTAAATTTATTGTAATTAATTTGTTTTGTTTAATTTTGTGTTATGTGTAGTGTGTTGTTGCATAGGAAGAAATAATGCATAAATGAAAAAGCAAGAAGTGAAAAAGAGAAAACTGGAAGAAAATTGAAGTAGAAAGAAGAAATTGGTTCTGAAATCAATGTGCACGCGTTGTGGTCACGATGGACCTCATCATTTTGTGATGCATTACAATGCGGGCGCGACATGATCGTTAAAAATAGCCATTGGCAGAGGTCCGTTGAAATGACCATTAGTGGTAGGCATCACTGCAACACGGGTACAATAAGCAACTATAAAATTATCATTTTTGGCATTTCATCCGTACACTTACCTCTTTCTACTGTTTTCTACTCACTTTTCCTTCCAATTTTTGTTGTTTTATGGTGTGATATTTATGCAGAGACATGACACTAAAAAGAAGCCTAGTCACTCATGTCAATTAGTCATTTAACCCACCTACTTAAGATACCACCTCCTTTCCAAACAATCTTTTTGCTACTCAAGCAAACTAGGTGAAATATATTACGATTAGAAATTTCAATGTAGTGAAAGAGAGAGCCTTTGATGTTGAAATTTTTAGAAGGGTATGTGGAGCTGATCATAATGTTGGAATAAAGAGGTTGGAAGAGATTCAATAGCATGATCAAATAAGTCAACAAATCTATTTTGTTCGAGTTTTACGCAAATATCATTTCTCGACCGTTCAAAGATTATACATCATATGTGATAGGTAAAAATATTGACTATAGACATGCTAAAATCAATTATCTTATTTATCCCCGACCTCTTCCTAGGTGTAGTGTTCGAAATAGGAAGGGTGTTTCTTTGACCGAGGAAATGGGTGAGAGGATGTTGGAAGAATTTGTCCACAAAATGGGAAAATATTGAGATTGCACAGTAGGGATTTACACACAATACTAAGAGCAAGGATATCTTTTATTATTCAAACTCTTGACTTTGATTCCGACCAAATTGAATTCATCGTGAAAAGGTGCCACACTTTGATGTAAAATTTGAACCAATAGCAGATTGACGTTGCGTTATTGATTGCAGAAAATATAAAATATATGGCGGACGCTCCACAAAAAATTTGTGTATATTTTTGTAACATTAATAAATTATGCAGGTTAGCTAAAGTGCCTACTTACTCTGATGATGTCATGATGAGTCCGATGTTTCTAATCAACAAAAGCACAACGAGAAAAATTCTCGCACATCTAACACAAGAAGGCGGCCAAGACAAAGCACCACAAGAGGAAGAAGATCAGTTTTATCATCCGAAAATCAATCATCCAAAAAGAATCCCTCAAAAATAGAGGTGCCTAACAACTTGAAAAGGCTTGAGGAGTACGCGTTGGGGATGACATGTTGGGCAAATGAAATCTTGCCTACCTTGTATGCAGACCCTCCAAGATTTGGACCAAGTTATCTGGCATTCTATGTGGAGCACATAGATCACATGTTGGTCCATAACTTGCAGGAACATTTTAACACTTCTGCAGCTATGAAGACCTACATCGCTGAGCAATATCAAGCCTTATCTAATAGGTAAGTTGGGATGAGGACTACTTGGGCCAGAAAAAATCAATAATTCCATGATGAAATGCAGGATCTGAACAACTACTTCAACACCGACAACACATGATTAGGAAGTTCCCTTGCATAACGAAAAATAATGAAGAAAAGGGAAGTCGATTACTTGTATTCAATCTTCAAATACCTTAGCTAGTAAGTTTTGAGCCAAATTATTCCATTGTTCACTTTCCTTTTTATGAGAGTATCCGTACATTAGATATTTATTATATTTTACATTATTTCTAATTTGAGTCTATTTGTTTGATAAATTGACATTGAGGAAGTTGTTTGTGAAAACTCTGAGCCTTTTTAAGCCATCATATTTTAATATGATTGTGTCCTTTTCTAGCCAATTTGAGTCTTAATCATTCTTTCGGTGACATAGCCTTTATTATACATGCATTTGATTTGAAAGATTAATTGTTATATTTAGATAGAAATAATTGTTTTACATGTCTGATGCAAAAAGAAAAAGTTTGAGGTTTCTCTTGGAAGTTAACAACAAATAAGTTTATGGTTGGGGTACTAGAGAAATTAGTCAAAAGAAAAGAAAAAATGACAAGAAGTTTAAAATAGCTTCCACAAAAAAAATTATGAAAAAGAAAGAAGAATAGAGTCAAAATATTCATTCTCTAGTACCAAGTGAATAAGAAATGAGTGATATAAAAGGAATCAAATAACATTAGAAAAATTAGGTACCTAACTCCAAAGGTGTAAGCCTACTATCCTAAATTATCCTACCCTAACATAGGCCACACTACAACCTTAAAAAGACTTCAAAAGTGTGTATTTAAATATAATTTTGATTGATTCGGTTAGAAACTTTTCAAACTCATTGTTAAATACTTTTGTACGTTGATTGTATGATTACCCTATTAAATCGAGTGAATGTTTTTGAGATGAGAGACATGTTGCGTACTTGTATGTTCGGAATAAATTTTCCGAGTTGATTGGGTTGAAGTAAGGAACATACATGTTGATCAGAAAAGAAAAGTGACATTCATTGGTTAGGGTAAACATTTTAATTCTCATGAAATATTCAATGTGCAAACAGATTACTTGAGGACAAACAATAAAGTAAATTTGGGGTAATGATGACATTCGTTATGACGTATTTTTTACTAGCAAAGTCAGATGAAAACATTGAAGTAATGAGCAAAAGCCAATTCATAGTTAGATGAATAGAGCAAAAACTACAAAGAGTAGAAGAATTGAGATTTAAAAAAATTCTAAAGAAAAAGAGAACATAAAAGCAATTTTAGCCCTTGGATTTTACACACACGTGATGCATCCTATCGTGGTGCGATGTAGGCCTCATTGTGGCGTGATGAGATGATAAATTCTAACACACTTTAAATTGACTACATTTTTTAGGATTCTGAATTTGATAAAGTAAATGATAATTTAAAATGCCAAAGTGACAATTTTGAGAGTTTTAAAAATCATTGAAAATCTTCATCTTTAATTTTCATAGATAAAATTATAGAACCAAACAAAAACATACTTCTAACTCAATTAATTTTCTTGAAAACTTTATCCCTTAAAATTTATTAATCCAAACAAATTATAGGATAGAAAAAGAAATTCTAAAAAAACAATACCATAAAAATACATTTCCAACAAGAGTTGGTCTAAAACCTTCAATTAAGGGGTAGGGTGAGGTGTGTGGGGGGAATATTTCGCTAGATTGCAATTTACGCCATTGTCGTGGCATTATAAAGAGTGCAAAGTGTCCCTTTCCCAAATTAAAGCATGGAAGAGACCGTTATGGTGAGTGTTCACTCTTAAGTAGAGCCTATCATCATTTTTCTTTTGCCATCAACCGACTACTTGTCATTGGTGGGTCATCAAATAATTCCAAGTTATTTTGTTCAAATGGGTTTTCTGTCACTAGCAAAGTTATGTGCATTTGTGATCAAAATATGTCTCAATTTGTTGTTGTCTTTATATGAAGTTATATATTATTTGGATTTTGGACTATAAAGTTGTTTATAATTATATAAAGTTATATTATTTAAATTTTCTTGTTATTAGATATATAAATGCTCGAGGGCAACGATACTATTTGAACTCTAAATTTATTTAACTGGTTTATAGAAAAGTATTTTTGAATTAATATTAATTATAGCATAATTATTTATAAATATTATTTTATAAATAATTAAAATAAAAATCAATTTTTAATAAAAATTTAACAGTTACGATTAATTAATAGTGTAAAATTTCTTTACACCATAAATATATATAAATTAAATTATTTTAAATTTTAGGAGTTGTAGTCAGAATTGTATTTGAGCATTTTTATATAATTTTTTTTGAAAATTCTATTAATTTTTTTTTAATAGTTAGGCTACAATAATTTGGAATTTTTATTGAGTCATAATTTAAATTTAAAAGATTTTAATGAATTACGTATATTGTAAGTAATTAGATGGTTAAGTTAATTATATTATTTGATATACAAATAATTAATTAATTAGATAGTGAATTAGTTAAATTTCTAATTATACAAGTGAATAACAAATTAAGTTGGTTAAGTTATTTTAAACTTAGTTATTGTAACATTTTCCTTATTAATAAAATATGCAATGAACCGTACAACACACCATTTCCATTCCCCTTTCCCCTTTTATGTGATAAAATAATTCTAACAATTTTATGTTTATATAAAAATAGATTAATGTAATTTTGATTTTTGATGTTGTTTAGGGACTACAGTATTATGAATTATGATGATGTTTAGGGACTACAGTATTATGAATTGTGATCTATCTTTATTGGGCTACCAACACCTAATTGTAGTCCAAGTAGATAACATAAGCCATAACCTTAAGTTCAATTTAAAAATGTTAAAAGGTAAATAAATTTTGGAATTTTTTAATGCACCATATGTGTTTCTTAGATACCAATGTGAATTTTCAAAAATGCTTTCAAAAAGCGGAATTGTATCTTCAATGCGCACCCTATTATATAAAAAAAAAAACATACAAATCGAAAATATATTTATGGTTCCCAAACCGATGTTGTATTTTCGGTTATATTCTAAATGAAATTAAGAAAAACACTGTGAGAAGTCACACTCTACCACGTTGATACGAACCAGAAATACAACACTGGTTCTAAACCGTAAGTGTATTTTTGATTTGTCTTTTGACATATACTTGTGCTATCTCTTACTCTTCCTCATTTTCTTCAAACAGAAACAAAACAAAAAACCTCCCAAAACTCCATTGTTCCAAAATACTCATTGTTTCAAAATCTATCAATTTATCGCAACACATAAGTAACACATCAGGCATAATCAGAATCAACCAAGGAGAATCAATCATTATAATTTTTTTAGCATTATTGAGTTTTTTTTCCATACAAATTGTGTTTTAGGGTAGTAAAATGTAGTTTTTTTTAGTTCTTGCTATGTTTGAAGTCAATACGAAAGTGTTAGCCATGTCTTTTTGACAATCAATGTCTGTTTTTTGGTCCCCATTAGGCGTCAGCTTCACCATTGATGTACCTGTTAAGTTGCAGGTCGTATTAGAAGTGTATTTACAGTTTTGTTCTTGACTAAAATCGGAAGTATACTTTCAGTTTTGCAGCAGACAGTTTGTACAAGAATATTATTGTTTAATATTTTATTCATTTATTCTACATGTATTATGGCTGAGAGACAATCCAGATTGCGACACGAGATACTTTCACAACATGCTTCCGTGCATATGGAAAGGACTCAGTCTTTTCATGCTCCTAGGGCGGCTGTGCCGGATACTTCCACTCCATCGACCAACATGCGAGAGTCTCTTGTCCATCCATCTCCGCCTCCATCCTCGCAGACCTACATCCTCACCGCAGGTATCCGGACCAGGAGAGACATCCAGATCCCACTCATAAACTACACCACATTCAATACATACCTCTCCACCTCCTTCTTCCCACATACACCCTATGGTATTTGAGACATGAAAGTCTTCTTCATCCCAGCTGACACCTGCTCCCACCCAGCCTACACTCGTTCCCACCCAGCAGGCACCAGAGGGCACTCCCACCCAACAGACACTAGAGGCCACCCAGCTTGCACCGACGGTCCATCCAGAGGCAGCACCAGAGGCCCATCCACAGGCACCAGCAGAGGCGCCTCAAGCCTTTGGAGGAGGACCTTGTGATTTGTCATTATTGTCGTTGTATCATGACCATGTTTCCAGACACTTATGGGACTGAGAGGTAAATATTTCATTTAACAATTGTCACATATTGTGTTACCTTTTTTTTTGCTAAGTATTATGTTTATTTAAGTATTGAGTGTTTATCTATGCATGCAATGTAAGAATAAGATTTGGTTCTGCAATATTATCTCTGAGTTTTGATGATGACAAATGAGTATGATTGTATGAACGATTTTGTTGTACTAATGTTTGTTATTTTTTAGTACACAACAAACAAGTTCTGCTTCTGATGAATGGCGTGACCAAGACATTAGAAGAGAATTGATTTCGCTTCTATGCTACACAAGTTATGTTGAACAGTAATTCAGAAGGCTCTGAAGTGTAAACTCCAATATTTGTCTGAAGAAACCAGTCAAAAGATCTGAAGACAGAAGTTGTTACTTATGTTGAGATGCTGAAGACTCAAGCTTCTAAAGACAACATATTCAAAAGAAACAAAGTTAGAAGATTTGAAGACAAAGTTTCTACTGAAGTCCAGATGCTGAAAACTTGTGTTTCTATTAATGAAGTTATAAAGATAAGGGTTCTAAATACCAAGTGATGAAGACTCTAAAAGACAGAAGGTATAAAGACTCTAAAGACTTGAAGTTCTAAAGACCCAAGGTTCCAAGAAAAGGTTCTTACGACCAAGTGCTGAAGACGCAGTTCTGAAGACTCTGAAGACTTGAAGTTCTGAAGACTCTGAAGACTTAAAGTTCTGAAGACTTGATGTTATGTTCTCGCTTCTAAACTCATGCTCGCAGAAGCCTCTGAAGTGAAG